GGGAACTCTGGCTCTTCTTCAAAGAAATTTTACCCTTTTCAGAACAGGACATGGTAGGAAATTACTCCAAGATGAACACAAGATTTCTGATGACATCTGTTTCAGGTCTTGAGTGTTTTGAAGCAGAATATTTTGATTATGGCTATTTGAATGTATCTGACAGATATACAGTTCTATCCATTTAATAGGTGTAATCAACAGCTTCCTTAATTTTGTTATTTGTTATTGGAGAATGAAAAATAACTAGCTGATGCTATGTAAAGTAAGATAACTTTGGACTAATGTGTACAATAGAATTTTTATGTTAGAACTTTAATGATTTTAAAATAATCAGGCAGTTAATCTGAGGATGTAAAGTCATGGGGCCACTTCCTATTTTGTTCGGTGGGCAAGGAAATTTACACATAACCTATTGAGGGCATGCAGTATGATAAGTGACTTGGCAATCAATTCTCATGGTTGATAGAGAAACTTAGAAACTACTTTCTTTAAAGTGAGGGGAGGGCATGGATTTTATCAGGTGAAATTTTCCATTTAATTTCTGGTGCCGTACTTGGAGCGTATATACATTTGTTCCTGTTAATTCATAGAAGTGCAGGAAGATGGGGAACTCATCAGATTTGCAGATGATGCCAAGTTGGCAGGAATAGCCAACACTCAAGAAGATAGGCTTAAGATACAGAAGGATCTTGACAGACTTGAATATTGGGCGCTATCTAACAAAATGAAATTCAATGGTGAAAAAAGTAAGGTTCTATATTTAGGCAAGAAAAAACAAATGCACAGGTACAGTATAGGTGGTACCTTGCTCAACAGTAGTAACTGTGAAAGGGATCTCGGAGTCCTAGTGGATAATCATTTAAATATGACCCAGCAGTGTGCTGCAGCTGCCAAAAAAGCCAACACAGTTCTAGGGTGCATTAACAGAAGGATAGAATCAAGATCACGTGAAGTGTTAATACCACTTTATAATGCCTTGGTAAGGTCACTCTTGGAATACTGTATCCAGTTTTGGTCACCACAATGTAAAAAAGATGTTGAGACTCTAGAAAGAGTGAAGAAAAGAGCAACAAAGATGATCAGGGGACTGAAGGCTAATACATATAAAGAACGGTTGCTGCAATTGGGTATGTCTAGTTCAGTGATGGCAAACCTTTTAGAGACCAAGTGCCCCAAAACTGGCCCTGCCCCCACCCCGCCCCCACTCTGCCCCCCCATCCCCCGCCCTGCCTGCCAACAGGACCACTCACCACCTCTAGGGCCCGCCACAGATTGCCCAGCAGTGCTATGGCGGCCACACCCCCTGCCCGTGCCCAGCAGCATCAACTGCATGATGGGTTGTGAGGGCAGAGTTTTGTCTACGCTGCCTGGCTGCCATGTCCTTGGCTGTGCTGCTCCGTGTAGGCCACATTCGAGGGCTCCTTCAGGGGGGCTGCTGGAGAGGAGGGGGTCGCAGGGGGAGGCAAGGCTGGGGCAATGGCATGTGTGCCCGCAGAGAGGGCTCCAAGTGCCGCCTCTGGCACCCGTGCCATAGGTTCGCCACCACTGGTCTAGTTTAATGAAAAGAAGGATTAGGGATGACATGATAGCAGTGTTCCAATATCTCAGGGGCTGCCACAAAGAAGAGGGAGTCAAGCTATTCTCCAAAGTACCTGAAGCAGGACAAGAAGCAATGGATGGAAATTAAACAAGAAGAAAAGCAACTTAGAACTAAGAAGAAATTTCCTGACAGAACAATTAATCAGTGAAACAACTTGCCTCCAGAAATTGTGGCTGCTCCAACACTGGAAGTTTTTAAGAAGAGAATGGACAACCATTTGTCTGAAATGGTATAGAGCAGCGGTTCTCAACCTGTGGGTCGCGACCCTTTTGGGGGTCAAACGACGCTTTCACAGGGGTCGCCTAAGACCATCGGAAAACACATATTTCCGATGGTCTTAGAAACCGAGACACTAGTGAGAATTTCTGGTCAAGGCTAGCTCCGCCAGCCAGCTTGGGCAGACAGGAAAGCAGCCACCTCAGCAGCATGGCGGGGCTGCGCTACCCATCGCAGAGCAGCTACTGCCGC